GGCCATCGTTTGTTATTTTCTCGGATCATCGGACACGAGATCGGTAGTTATGTGTGTTAAAGCGTTGCTCTCACATAGAAACATGTACAACATAGGTATACCAAGACAAGGGTATACATGGAGGTCCGCGGATCAAAATTTACTTTTCAAAGTGCTCCCGACACGGAGTGCGGATTATTTTGCATTATCTTTTGATTTGAAAAAAAAAGTCATCGGCGTTTACCTGGTATAAAGAAGCCCCATCTCCGAAAGTTTTGAAATTTCATTTGTATCAAGGAAGCGTCTTCCTTTTCAGAAAAGGCGCCCGGATGACTGCTTCCCGAAACCGTGTCGCGGAGGAACTTTTTTCCGGCTCCTCTCGAAAGAAATCATCCGAGAAATCGGCTAAAAGTTGGCCCCATCTCCGCAAACTTTGTCCCGTAGGCACGGGGGAACGAAGCCGGACGCAGCTGCAGTGGAAGGTGCACAGAGAGAAAGAGAGAGAGAAAAAAAAATGAAATAAAAAGAAGCGCGATATCTTAATTTCCTCCCGGCCGCGTACACACTTATACCTGCTTCGTCGTGTACGGACTTTTTTTACGCCCCCACATCTGCATGCGAACGATTTGCATTTCTGTCGCGGAGCGTTTACACGCGCAAACACAGCACGCGCACTTTGCTCCAGCAGCATAGGAAGGACGGGGCGAACAAGAGATGCGTCCGTGGCCCTTTGGATTAACATGCACCATTGTTCTGCCAATGGTACAAGAAAGGGACCCCACTACTACACGGACGACGACAATGAGTCTTTACATGCAGGCACCACAGGTGGCGAGAGCTATAGTGTGTATACGTGCGTGTATTACGTACACGGTAGGCATATTTATCCCCATCCCTGCCGATACCTTAATGTACGGCAGGTATTTGTACCACTGGTACACGTTTACGTACAGGTATACGACGTCGTAACGAAGAGCGCGCGAGTCCATTAGAGCCCTCCGGAGGATGCTGGAACGGTGCGCCGCGGAATTTCAGGGATGCCGTGGCGCCCCGGTGTATTACACGCACCCTCGCTCGCTCACGGGAAAATTCAGTTGCTTCGGGGCTGAAGCTCCAGTGCGGCCCAGTTGTTTTTTTTCTTCTTTTTTTTTTTTTTTTTTCGTCAGTAATAGTATATAACTTGGGGTAAAAAAAGAAATAAAGATGTGTCTATTTATACGAAGAAAAAGTCACGCGCGACCGAGAGTTAAAGAGAATTTTCTAAAAATAAAGAATCACTTTTCGATTTCTCCCAACGGGAGAGTGCTTTGACGGATGACACTCGATTATAGGCTGGGAACACGTGTTCTCGAGGAATCCGAAAACCAATGACGCTTTTTGGTCTTTGTTCTGGGACTTGGCTGTCCCCTGTCGAACAGAGACTTTTGTTTCAAAGAAAATCAAACCGACCGTTTATATACCCACGAGTGTACTCCGCTGCATGGTTCGATTGAGAGATCACCGTCATCGCCACCAGGAAGAAATACAAAAAAAAACACAGCTCAATCGTTGTTGGACTCTAATCACGAACCGAGTGTGCATAAGTGTATGTATAAGCTATACGTGTGCACCGGCTACCGATAATGAAAGTAGACCGATCGAATTACCGACTCGACACGCGAATAATCGAACGAAAACGACTTCAATTAGCGGCATTAAAGAACCCCCTTCTCCCAAGCCGTCCCTTTCCTGCGAGATACAGTCCCGCTGCACGCGGTGCATAATAAAATCAATCAGAGCCGAGTCATGCGGAACGGATCATCTCCCCTTCGACGACGTAACTCGTTTTCCCGCACGCCCTCCACGTGCATGTACATGTGTACGTATACACCCATACCGACTCGCCGGACTCGTCGCTTTATCGCTAACGAGCCCGCGAGCGCAAATCGCGTCTTTGAAGCGCTCCGCTCGTACATGCACCTATACACCCACGAACGTCCGATCGATCTGTGTATCCTCCCGTGAGAGAAGATCCCTGCGAGTCGGGACGAGAATCACCAACTGCTTTTTGGCGCGGCCACGAAAACGAGCGAGGCAACGCGGTGAACTTTTACGTGTATACACACATTGGGCCGTGCATCGAGAGACTCGCTAATGGAGCAAGGAATTTCGCGCGCACACAACACGCGATCGTCGATCTCCTCCGGGTCTCTTCCTTCCTTCCTTCCTTCCTTCCTCCTCCTCCTCATTGCTTGCGGTCTTTTATTTAGCACGAGCCGACAGCGGAGCGGACGAGTTTTAGGCCCTCCCGTACGCATACGCACACCTTAAGACAATAGGGTCTTTTTGGTATGCGGCTTCGATGGCCGTGAGAGGAAGGGTGTTTTGAAACTTTCTCGAGCGATGGGAGTGACAAGGACGGTGTCGCGGGGCCGCGTGTGCGTGTATACGATTACGGTTGTTCGCGACAGACCCGATGATTTTCTTGTCGCGGCTTTTGAACGGCTTTCCGGGGAAAGGGCCCGGGATACAGGAATTTCATTAGGCCACCGGCTGATATCGTAAAAATATCGATTTCGATCGAAATGGAATTTGCCGCCGGTAGGGGAGAAAGAAGTTTTGACAAAGGTATTTGTACTATGCGAGCGCCGTGGATCCTTTTTTCTCCCTTTACTCCGGCTGTGTATTTGCCCCGAAGAAACATTTACCTTTTACCGATTTAGTTTTCCGGATCGATGGAGGAGTCTGGAGATGTTGCTTTTTTTTTTTTCTTTTGAAAGTTGAACAGCCGAAAGTCTCTCTGAACGTAATACTTTGAGTAATTTTTTCAGCAGAGAGTTTCAGGAAAATACATAAATATACGCGGTTTCTCCCGAAGAGTGTACATCCAAGTTATCCAACGAGGACGTGGTTGAGCGAAAAAAAAGTCACGAGAGGTAAGCCAGACCGCGAACTAGGATCGCAAGCTTAAAATTCTTTATGGATAAGGCGGTGCAAAGGTGCTTCGCTTTGAATTTATTTAGCCATTCTGTTACCTGGCCCCGGAAAATTTAATCTCCCCTCTTGTCAAATAAATCGCGCTGAATTAATTTTGCTGTAAAGTTAAAGCGCTCTTTCTTTCTGCTTTCAAGGAAAGGCGCGGACAACGTCGGGAGGATAATTTTGGAAAAAAACGATTTTGCGCTCTAGCTATAAATAACTCGATAAACTTTGTGAGTTTTTTTTTCTCCACAATTTTCAAACTAACAGCAACCTCGTGATGGGTATACACGAGAAAGTTTACAAAAGATGTGTAAACATCGTTATGCGTATACGTAAGGTTGAAAAAAGAAAAAACGGGATGGACCACTAATTAAAATCGAGAACAATTACCGATTGTTTGCACTATACGGCCATAAAATCGCATAGCAAACAGGCGATCGTAGATGCACTTGATAAGAAATTCTCAGCCTCCATTGAATCGGTATAAAAGACCGTATACATATATTGGCCTTCATTAAAATCGGCAAAGCATAAAAACTACTCTAGGCAAACAAATTACGCCACTCAGTGGAAATTGAAAAAAAAAAAAAAAGTTAAAAATCGTCATTGACGGAAGGCAGAAGAAATCGGTAAGGCAAGCAAGAAGACTAACCACGTGCTTCGAACCGGCGTCATGACCTGACGTCGAAGACGGGCCCCTGGCGCCGCCGTCTCTTCCTCGAAATCCTCTCTCCTGAAACTGTTCCGGCTAATCGCAATCCTCCTCCTCCTCCTCCTCGTCCTTCGGCTCCTCTCGTACCGGGCACTCAAAAAAAGCCCCTCACCTCGGTATATCTCTCAACTTCAGAAACTCAAATTAAAAAAAAAAAAAAATGGTAAAAACCAGAGAACGAAAAAAAGGGGGGAAAAAATGAAAAATCAGAGCACTCGTAAAAAAGGTATATATCGCGCGCGCTATTGTTTATCGTTCGCGTGGAAGGTGCAGGTACATTTGCGCGGGTGAAGTGTGTTTGGCGCGAAGCACCTTCGCGGACGGGGGTCGGCGAGCGACTACCGGAGCCGAGGACCGCGGAGAGGAGAGCCGGGCCGGTATTATACATGTATACACGGCATGGTCGCAGCGACAGAGAGATCGGGATGCTGCGCGCGCTCTTTGCCTGCCGCGTGATGTATTATACCTACACTACTGACACATACGACCGTGGACCCTTGCCTATGTCCTACACACACACACACGGGCTAATTGCTCTCGGCCCTCGCTTCTTCTCTCTTTCTCTGGTTACGTTTTTTGTCGTCTCTCGCCGCGGTATACTACCTATACGCGAGCATGAGGTTTTTGTTGCCGGGCTCGAGCGCACCGCCGAATTTACAGGCCGATGCGAGGGGGACAAGTGTGTCTTTGGGTTACTGGGGTGGATGAGAGCAAAGAGAGAGGGAGAATTAAAGCTACTGATGGCTTTTGCATTTGCTGTTGATTCGAGAGTAATGGAGACGTAGGAGACTTTAAAGAGGCTATTTGGTAGGTCCGTCTTGCTCCCGAACCCTGGGTGTTGATAACATTATGGGGGGGGGGGGGAAACTGTAGTTAGTGAAACTTTCGTTTGCATAAATTTAAAAAAACAAAGTGCGACGTAGAATCAAGAAACATAAGGGTGAATTATGCGTGTTTCATATGTACAGGCTTGTTACGGTCGAGTGATAATTTTCGAGGTTTTTTGGATGCTGTGGCCAATTTGGGTGTCTTGAAGCTAAAATTATATTTTGTCCCCTATGGTTTGAACAGCAGAGATAAACTTATTTTGACCATGATTCTTTACGGGAAAACAGAGCGACGGATGAAATTTTTATCGGTGTTTTACAAGCCCCGCGTGAACTGATTCCGACACGAAAAGATACCACAGCTAATGTAAACAAGATTTTGAAACACGTTTTAGACGATTTTATCTCGCCACGGCGTAGTTCCTAGTCGTTAAACTTTTGTTTCACGTTATTCTTTTGTTTTTAGTTAAAAAAAATATAAAATTACTGAGTTGAATTACTGAGAAAATAAAATCACTCACCCAAAGAATGGTCGCGTGCGAAGCATGATGAAGCAGTCCGACTGGCGGACAAAGTTCTCGGTCCGTCCGCAATCCTGCCTTCCGAGGAGCAGGATATGCACCTCTTAAAAGCCCCTTCGACTCTCCCCGGTGGCAGCAACAACGAAAATTGAATACTCGCGTGTGAAATCTATGTAAACCGCGGAGCACTGGTCAACGAGTTTCGTGGAGTATACAGCTCCGTTTATCCCGAGCGAGTGTATGACAAAAAACGCGGGTACGCTTGTACAGTCTCGAGCACGCGTACATGCGGCGATCCGCCGAGGAACTGACCCGCTCTTGTACACACTCGGACGACGAGAGGTTTCCTCGGAGGGACAGACAGAGAGAGCGAGACGAGGGAACAACGACGCGAGGACTCTCATTCATAGCGCCCCCGCGAACCTCCTCCTTCTCCTCCTCCTCCTCCTTCGTCTTCTTCTCTTGCTCCTCCCCCTCCTCTCTCGTGCTCGGGTGTTTGAGCGTATAGTGTACACATTTTTGACCCCGGAGCTGTTGGCTCGGTTGAATCGGTTGGCTCCGAGATCATTGAATCCGATGGATGGGCCCTAGACAGATGGAGTGCCTGCTGGAGCGGACACTCGCGTCAAAAGAGTTGCTACAAGTGTGCTGTGTGGGCCCTTTTACATTGTTCTTTTTTTTTTTTTTTTTTTTTTTTCCATCTTTTTTGACAGCTCGAGGCTTGATTTACGGTTTTTTAATGGACAACTTTTCATCTACATTTTTATTGATGATTTTAATTTCTCTCGAGGGCTTTTGGCTTCAGGTTAAATGGAAACAAACACCGATTTCGTGGAAAATTTTCCGAATGAAACGTCGATTCGTCCTTTTTGCGAAATTCTCGTTCGAAAATTGAAAAGCTCTCGTTGTACAAACATTTTTTTTCTCGTATAATCTAGTTGTTCCGTAGTTTAATTAAAATTGGCTGTTTCAATATTTTTTCATCTGTCCAATTTGTGTTCGTGCAAATTCCGATGGACGAGAAAAATTTAACATATCTCTCGGATTCGTATGAAAATTTTTTTTCAAAACTCGCTTCGATATCCACGTGCAAATGAATCAAATACTACGGTATTTGATTCATTTTAAAGTAGGCTAATTTTGCCTGAACTTTGAGTTCAATGATCACCAAGAATTTATTGCCATATGCTCAGCACATTTCGACAGCCTGCGGCGTGAGAAAAAAAATTATAAATATATTACCCTTACACCTTCAATGCTGATGTATTGAAATAATATGGTTGAAGCGTGAAGAGGAAATTTTAATTTTTAAAAGCTCTCAACTGATAAACTAATTAATGTAGTTCTATTATCAAGCAAATCTCGAAAACTCGTTTAAACCCTCAAAATCGATCGACGTCGAGTTTTACCGATTTCTAGTTGGGAATTACACCTACAATTCGAAATCGCAAAGAGTCAGGCGAGCTAAAGCTCTTCTGCAACAATCACCGCGCGATCACCGGATGGATGATGTGTACATGAAAGCGCCAGACAAAAAAGCTCGCGGCCGAAAAATTCACCATCACCGGTCCGAGCTACACATCACTCGACATCCAGAAAAAAAAAAAAAAAAAAAAAAATTCCGGCGATGTATCAAAAATTCCTTATACCCCCGGCTCGATTTTCTGGAGGAAAAAAGCCCCGAACGCACCTCTCCGTCCCCAACAGCTCGTGCAGAAAGACAGCGAGAATTTAATCCCACCCCCGCGATCCTTTGAGAGAGGGACAAAACCTCACGCGTCCAAGCGCACGGTGTAGAACAATAGTCAACCGTTTTTTTTCCCCCCTCTCTCTCTACCCCTTTTTTCTCTCTCTCCATTTCAATTCCCCGCGATCCCTGAACTCGCACACTCGCCTGCATCGTACATCCGCACACATACACACGCAGAGGGCAAAGCTACCCACCTATACACGTACACTCCATCCAGAGCTTTTTGCCCGCGAGTCGAAGTGATTCGGGGGGGCTGCAGCAGGCATCAGAGAGAGAGAGAGAGAGAGAGAGAGAGAGAGAGAGAGAGAGAGAGAGAGAGAGAGATAGCGCAACAGTGATTTATACATTGGTTATTATGCGCCGCGCTCTCTGCACGCTGACTGGTCCGATGCAGCTATATATGTATATATACGACACACGAGCAGAGCTATTGAAATCGCGGGAACACAAAAGAGCAGAGAGAGAGAGAGAGAGAGTACTGCATGTATGGGTATACAACTGCATCTATATATCACGTGGGGGGTATAATGATGCATCCGTATGTGGTAATAGAGCGATGCTGAGGATCGATTTTGCATTTTCGAGTGGCGTGACGACTCGCTATACTAATTACTCCCGCCCGTGCTCATATTATGTACCATCATCTGTGTCCGTATATATTGCTTTTTCTTTATTTCTTTCACTCTCTGCTTCCCGACTTTTCCTTTTTCCGTGAAACTGCAGACGTGCGCGAAACGGGGAAAACGGACTTGATAACCGGGCCAGAAGAAAAAGTTTTATCGGCTATTTGCCCGGGGATGGGAGATCGCGGCACTGCAGGATAGTCGATCCTCTCGCTACTGTTCCTTATTATCATACAGGCATGGCAAAGTAAGTCATACGGTTGGCTTCCATTTTTTTTTTGTATACCTACCTGGAAAGAAAAAGTATGTTTTATGTTCATCGAATTCTATACCTACCCTTTATTTTTATACGTGTAAGCGGCCAAACATAAAGGAAAAATGTAGGATCTATTACCTCTCTTTAGATATCATTTCGTCTTTTTATTTTTTTTAATTTACAAAATGTAACGACTCCGTTTGTATATTATATGCGCGTCAATACCAACGAGCATGTAAATAATTCACACCATTAAGGCAAACATTGGAAATTGACACCCAACACGCCGCAGGTTGTACGTACATCCTATTACGGGCAGCTTCCGAGTTGGCGTTAAACATTTCATCTGCCACGTTTGAGTTAACGCATGCAACTGCTTCCTGTTTCCTGAGCGAATAATGTGTATCTCTTTTCTTTTTTCTTCTCAAACTTTGACTCACTTTTCCAGTGTGATAATTGATCTTTCTTATGGTGTAGGCGAACATTGTTGCTGTGTCAAATGGCAATATTAAGGTAAATCGTTCAATCGGCTCCGCATCATAATTACACGACCCTCAAAGCTCATCCATCAGTACCCGATCAATATACCAGCCTCTTCTTTTATTTATATATGATGACCATTTAGCAGTAAAACCGCTCACTCGGCAGCACAGGATACAGAAAGTACTCCTGGCATTGTGTCGCAAAAGGCGTGGAGGCATTCATTGTCCACCACATCACCAGCTAAATGAATAATATATCACAATCAGGCACGGCTCGAGCGAAAAAGTTGTGGGGGCATTTATCGTGCCATTCCCGAAACAAGATACATACGAGTACATGGAAATGCACCCCATCACTCGCAATCGTTGCACATACCACGTTTGTCCCGTGGTTTAGCAAATAGTTACACACATGTGTACATATAATATATCAAAATCTCGACCCCAGCAATGCACTAATAGTAACAAATCAAATATAGCTTATCTGGATACTCCGAGCGTCCGATGACGACGATTGCGGTGGGCACAAGTTAATCCAATCAGCGAGTGGTTTTGGCAACAGCTAGTTTTGACTTTTGACTCCATCGCTCTGTAGCCACGTAGCTTTGACCAACTCTCGATGTGCTTTCGACCCCGATCGGAAATCTTTTTTTTTTTTTATTTCCGACTGCTGCCAGTTATTTATCCAAGTGGAAGGATCGCGATTGCACCGGGGTAAAAAACATTCGTTGCTCGTCGAGGTAGATTGGATCTCCGAAAAACAAAGTCAACTCGGCTGCGATGAAAAATGCCACTTGATCCCTCATTTCCACCATCCGGCTCTCACGTGATTTTTTACAACACGTCGTCACATCGATAGCTACCACGGTGTTAACCCGGTGTGAGTGTAAGTATGTTTTATATATATATATATATATGCAAACCAAGTAACTACAAATTCTTGACTCAATGACACGTAAGAAGAAGAGAAGTAAAAATAAAAAAAACCTACTTGACTCAAGTGATTCTCGACACGGACTGTTTGTTGAACTTTCACATGTACGGTGAATAAATCAACTCCTACGTCCCAATAAGGTATCGTCCAAATTATTTACACCACCCGTCGTACACACTGCCACCTTCCCACTTCTTTCCAACGTAAAAATCGATAACAAATAAAACAACAACTGGAAAAAAAAAAAAAAAATCNAGGAGGAAGAGGCTTATCGCATCGCCCACTTGCCTCGCGAGGATGGTAAGTGCTCCTGTCTCCCCCAACCCCCCTCACCCCCCACGCTACTGTACGCTGTATAACAATGGACTTTGGTGCCGAGGTCCTTTAATTATGCTTTCGCTCACCGCGTCCCTTGTTTTTCGGCAGATGACGCTGAAGAGGAGGATGAGGTGGAGACCGAAGAGGAGGACGGGGACACCGAGGAGGAGCAACTTTAATGAGCCGCGTCAACAATGTTTCCCTCGTTGACTTTTTCCAAAAGAGTTTTTAGGACTTTTTTGTTTTGTTTAGTTTTACTTTTGTTACGACTTTTGTTTAACCATACACACGTTCATCGAACCGAGTTTCTTGACTATTGTGATATGCTGATTTTGGCGGCTCTACGGTGCGTTCTGCCGAATAAAAGTCAATTCCTCAGCCTCATTGAATCCTGATACTTGTACTTTCTATTTACCGTACCTATAAGCACTTTTTCACAGTGGCAACGCGCCCCATCAGTGATCTCTACTTTTTTGTTTTAATTAACGAACGATAAGGTTTCTTTGGGCTACAGGATGAAAAAAAAAAAAAAAAACACACACACACACACACACAATTTGCCATTCAAGAGGCGCGTTGTGCGAAAACAGTCGAAAATCGGCACGTTTATCTGCCGGCTGTCGCGGCCTGGTGGCTCATTAAGAGGTTAGATAAGCCAATCGGTTACGCCACTCCCGTAACATCGTGTTTTTTTTTTTTTTTTATCCGGCTCTGTCGTAACGATCGCGGTCGCCGACAGGAAATGCCGTGAGCGGGGAAGCCCCGAAAAAAAAAAGAAAAAAAAAGATGGCACAGTCGTACGACGCGAACGAGGTCCCGGCCGAGGAGACCCCCTGCGTGAACCGCGAGATCGACAACGCCAAGCTCTACCTGCGAAAGTTCTGCCCCGAAGCTGGGGACACGCTGTGAGTCGACCCCACGACGTGTATGTATATATATATATACGGGGCTCGTAAGAGCATTTTTCTTTTTTCCCCCTTCAGGTACGACCACCTGAGCGAGGTGCTGGGCAAAATACTAGTGGACCGGCCGAGGAACCCCTTCGCGTCGTTCGACCAGTACAGCAGGAAATTGCGGGAGGACAAGTTCCGGGCGAAGGACGACCATTTGCTCGACCTGTACGTGCCCCCGGCTCGGATCGAGGAGGCCAGGGTGCTCGTCAACGTGTTCAAGGTGAGTTGACGTTCGTCGGTGTTTGCAACATCTCGTTGGACACTTTGTTCAGAAATTTGCATCTGCCGTATCAAGGAAACCTTGGCCCTTAATGAGGACGACTCGGGAGCAGAGGAGGAGGAGTACTCTGAAGGGGCGAGGTGCGCGTCCCCCAACTTGCTCGAGTTGTTTTACCATTTCGAGCTGGTCGGCATTGGGCTGCCGCGAGTGGAGGTGGTGCTCTTGAATTTGAGCCTCCGGACGTTGATCGCCAACACGAGGATCGAGGACGCGCGGTAAGGTCATCAGGTCCTTTTTATCCGACAAGGAGGCGAGGAATCGGTATTTTCGTTTGGTCAGATTCTGGGGCAAGATACTCGGCAGATCGAGGAACTATTACGTGGTGGAGGCGAGTTTGCCGAGCGACGAAGTAGAGCGCAGGCTACGGGTAATTTGGCCCTTTTTTTGTTTTTTGTTGCAAGCCACAAGGGGTCATCGGTGCCATTGATATTAGTGTAGCTGCGCGAGGAGGAAGAGCAGAGGACGGGAGGGGACGTGGAAAGATCGGAGGCTTCCGACTCGCTGCTGGAGGCCAAGTTATCGGACGAGGGAGTGGAGAAGGCGTGCACCGAGGACAGCGAGACTCTGAAACTCGAGTTGCCTCCCGTGCCGGTGAACACGTGGAGCCCACCGCCAAAAGTGTCCCCGGAAAAACTTGGCACCGGCCTCAACGCCAAGGTCGGACCGTCAACGACCCTTATGATCTTTTTTATTTTTCATTCAAACCACACAACGTCGGGTTGACGGTTTTTTTTTTTTTTTTTTTACTCTCTGCTACGATTAAAGTAATTTCTCTTTGCCCCCTATTTTACATTGTACCGCAGGGTTATGAAAATAATGCAAGCCGAGGGATTCGAATATTCGGATAATTGGACAAATTACAGGTATACTTTGTGTGCAACGCCCCGGGGCTGGATGACTGGGTGGAATTACCCCAAGTTTTGCCCGAGCAGATTGTGCTCGCTCGGCAAATCGTCCACGCGTTCACCGGGGAATTGGAAGCAGACGTAAATACACCGCATTTTTGTTTTTTTCCTCGAAAATTTGAAAATTTTCCGATACCCGCAACCATCGTAAAATTGTACAAAAATAAACGTTGCTTCGTAAATCGGTAAGGTAAACGCATGGACGGTCAACAGAGTCGCTCGAATGATTTTCTCCCGGGGCGATTTTCTAGATTCATACGTTTCCGCCGTTTCCCGGATGCGAGAAGAATTATCTACGTGCCCAGATAGCGCGCATCGGCGCTGCCACGCAAGTCTCTCCGATTGGCTACTACGCTCCGGCCGACGAGGAAGGAGAGGAGGAAGACGGTCGCGAGGAGGACGACGACGAGGAGGAAGAGGCGACCGAGGGCAGCATCCAACGGGGGGAAGGTAATGATAATATATGCTACGCGTTGCACGAAATTTCGAGGAACACCTTATCGCCCGGGGAGCACACGATGCACCGACTACACGTTCATCCGTTACACTGGAACACATAAGAGAAGAGATTTTGAAATTTTATTGTTCCAGGCCCCCTCGAGCCCAATCGTCGCTACCAACCCCTGCCCGCCAAAGAGCTGATCGAGCCGTCCAACTGGTGTCATCACGCCCGTCCCATACTGGAGCAGGGCCGAGAAGTGTGGCTCGAGCCCGGGAAGACGGACGACGCGAGCGACGTGAGTACCTATATATATACCTACCACGTAGACGGAAAGTTCCTCCGGGGCCCGATCAATTATTCAAAAAGCTCCCCCCGAGTTGGAGCCGAGCACTGTAAATTTAAAACTCCCCCCCCCCCCTACCGAGGAGGAATCACTCGGAGCGAGTTAATCCGGAGGATTTATCGAAAGTCAATATTGAGATGGAGTCGAGCTCGAAATTGCGCGCTATGAAAATGACCTGGTTTTCCAGAGGGGCGTGGAGGAGGGCGAGGAGGAGGAGGAGGAGGAGGAGGCCGAGTTCGAGGAGGAGAGCGAGGCTTTGGGGCAGGAGGGGCTCGTGGGGGAGGTCGGGCCGGCTCTGCTGAGGCCGCTGTCGGAGGACGCGGAGTTCACGGCGACACCGGCCTGGTGCGGGCGGCTCTCCTCGGCCGCTGTCCATCCGGACGCTGCGGCCGCTCTCCTACGCTCCAACGTCTGGCCCGGGGCGTTTGCCTTTGCCGCTGACAAGTTAGTTGTTTTTTTGTTTTTTTTTATATTTCTCCTCCCATTTTGTTGCCGGTCATAAAAGGATCGGATGGGTCACGCACTCGATGGGGAGTACAGCCGAGTGAGATAATTTGATGGAAACGTCAGGAAATTCGGCAACGTGTACATCGGCTGGGGCCACAAGCGCAGCGCTTACAACTACAGTCCCCCGGTGATGCCGGAAGTGGAGGAGCAGTACGTGCCGATCGGCTGTGAGCTCGTCGAGGCCCGGGATCCGAGTTTCGAGGAGGAAGAGGCTTATCGCATCGCCCACTTGCCTCGCGAGGATGGTAAGTGCTCCTGTCTCCCCCAACCCCCCTCACCCCCCACGCTACTGTACGCTGTATAACAATGGACTTTGGTGCCGAGGTCCTTTAATTATGCTTTCGCTCACCGCGTCCCTTGTTTTTCGGCAGATGACGCTGAAGAGGAGGATGAGGTGGAGACCGAAGAGGAGGACGGGGACACCGAGGAGGAGCAACTTTAATGAGCCGCGTCAACAATGTTTCCCTCGTTGACTTTTTCCAAAAGAGTTTTTAGGACTTTTTTGTTTTGTTTAGTTTTACTTTTGTTACGACTTTTGTTTAACCATACACACGTTCATCGAACCGAGTTTCTTGACTATTGTGATATGCTGATTTTGGCGGCTCTACGGTGCGTTCTGCCGAATAAAAGTCAATTCCTCAGCCTCATTGAATCCTGATACTTGTACTTTCTATTTACCGTACCTATAAGCACTTTTTCACAGTGGCAACGCGCCCCATCAGTGATCTCTACTTACCGGCTGCGCCTTAAATAGGTATTTAGCTTATCTATACCTGATGGTTTATTTGAAAGAGGCGGGCTTGCAACCTTACCGGCTTACCTATGAATGGTGAGAGGTTAAAAACAAAATCTTCTTTATCGACGGTAGACAGTGTCTGAAAACTCTTATCGGTAGCTGCTCGATTGAAAAATCGTTCGTAGTTCGACCGATTGACGATGCGAATTTAAAAGCAGCAGAGTCGCTGTATCGTGTTTTGCTGCAAAAGCATGTGTGCTTCGAAAAACTAACCTTTCCCTGCTTTATTTTAATGCCGGTTCAATTTTTAAACAATATAAACTGCAAAGATGAGTGAAACAGAGTGTTCTTTCCGTCCCTTGAATTGTGAGTTGAATTACTTGACAGTTTCCGATGGCTCAACGATGTTTATGCAAGGTATGGAACATTGAAAGCAAAAGTTTTAGTGTTGATATTTTTTGTTGAATTTTTGAGTTATTACATTTGATAATTTATTCCAATGAATGACTTGTCTTCGTTTTTTTGAAACTAAATTTTAGGTGACACTACTGTGATAGCTGGTGTTTTTGGTCCTGTGGAAGGTAAACAGCAGAAAATGTTTTACAACAAAGCTAATGTGGATGCAACCTTTGGTCCAGTTAAAGGCCCTCCAAGTAAGAATTTAATCACATACCGTATCAATATGAGCAAGCGTGTATCAGTTTTTTTATGATATGAAATCATTAACCAACAGGTATAAATGACAGATTAATGGAATTGTATATTAGGGATACATGCGAAGGATCCATACTTACTGCATTGCACCCAGCATCTACTATTTCAGTAAATATACAGGAATTACAAGACTCTGGTGGAGTTAGTAAAATCGATAGTTGGTTAAATTATTTATTTTTATTGTGTACATAATCTTGGGTTTGCATTTTTTAGCTGCTGGCATGTGCTATCAATGCTTCATGCTTAGCTTTGATCAATTCTAGTGTGCCAATGAAATACACGTTTGCAGCAGTGTGCTGTATGATTGACAAAGAGTCGGGTAGTATAATCATAGATCCATCCTCAACACAATTGAAAGTAGGTGCACACAATATTAAATATTAATCGTCTCATTATTAATGCACATTGTTTATTGATCACTATAATTTTTTTAGAAATCCAAAGCCACATTCACATTTGCCTTTGATAGTCTCAACAAAGAACTCATCTGCTGTCAATCAAGTGGAAAATTTAAAGAGGAAGAATTGATAGGAGCTGTAGAAAAGTGTAAAGAGGCAAGTCAGCATCTATTTGATTTTTATAGAGACATTGTTAAAAGGTATGCTACTGCAATTTAGGCTAGTTCTTAGTCGGTACAAACTATTGGAGCTCATGTACGTTTCATGGTTCTATGGTTTATACAAAAAGTGACATATTCAAGTTGGACAGTCTATTGTAAGTTGAGCAAGAATTAATACTATAGTAGAAATGTCGCTTCAAGATAATTTAAGGATGCTCTTTTTAATAGAATTAATAAAAATAATGTGAGGATCCTAGTTAAAAAAATAAAAGAATTATTTTCACGTATATTGTCTAAATATTAAATTGGTTATGATTTTCGTGTTTTTTTGTTGAGTTTTAACGTGGAATACACTTTATCATTACCATTAAAATGAATAGGCTTTTGCAAGGAATTAATTTAAAAAACCCATAATGCCCCAAACATCGAGTCATAATGACGGACCAGCTGCAGCTGTACCATAACCAAATTATCGATCAAGGGTATGCCGTACCTACAAACTACAAAATGCAATGACAATACCAATCGATGATTAATGAAGCAAGTGAGGCGATTGCCATTGCTCGAAATTTTATAAGGTCGCTAATCAGTACTTTCTCGGAGGTTTTCGGGGTAGCAGATCACGAATACCACGCCAGTGAGTGTCTTCGAGGTACCTGGAGCTCAGAGTGGACAGTATCTATACAGACAATTCGATAGTTTTATATTAAATATTAAATGCAATGGTACAAATTCATTCGAATTCAAATCTGATGGATAATTCAATTATCTCTCAGAGTATGTGTATAAAAAAAAATATGTAAAATAGAACAGGTTTTAAAGTATTCGGTTGCTTATGTATATTGTATTAAATTTTTAATGCCGAAACTTGAAGAGTCACATAACATTTTAAAATCCAAACTGTTACAAATCTTGTAAAAAGAGATAAAAATAGTAATTTAAACGTATTTAAAGCTTAAGTTCTAGTATTGTAAAATTTGTAAAATAATAAATTCAAGGATAAATTTCATTAGAATCGTAATAAAAAGCGTTTTACAATTTTATACATTGGGTGTAAATTTTTGATAGATTTAAAAAAAATATGTGAACAACAAAAAAAAAAACAATTACGTGCTCATTTCCATGACAACACCTTGTATGTCCTACAATACTCATCTTTCTTCATTATTAGTCATCATACCTTGGACCTCTCATGCATATGAACATAAATTGAATACAGAATCACTAAGAGTACGAGATTAAAATGCGACTTTCATTAAGAAAAACAAAAAAAAATTTTTTTTAAAACTAATTTCGGATAAGGCTGATGAAGGGAAGGCGAGCCCATCGAGTATAGGTACCTATACCTGTAACAGGTATATGTGCTTTTCGCAAATCGTCAGGTGGGCGCCGAAACGGAGCCACGCCCGATCGATGCTCCCTTTTGTTTCCTCTTTCTGTTGCCCTTCCCTTCCCTTGCGCCGGCCATTGCCGACGCATTGTACGTCCATTAAACGCGGAATTGAGGCTTCCATGCGTGCGCGCTGCAAATAAAGGGGATACTTGTAAGATAGTGCCAAGGGTGCAAAGACGTAGAGCGTCGATCGAGAAGCCAATAACAAGTTTTTTTTTTTATCAAATCGGAAGAAAATTGAGAATAAAAATAAAAATAATTTTTCGCGATAATTTAGGCAAACCGCGAGTTCTTGGAAAATGTATCATCCACAAAAGATGTAACGTCACCACAGCAGGGAAAGGCAAAAAATTTTAAATAGAGATCGAGCGGTGAGGAGGAAAACAGAGCAAACGAAGAAGAAGCAACGAAGTATGGATATATATATATGGAGGAGGTCGCCCGGAGGACCCTCGGACCATTAACAAGGAGCGCAGCAATTTATGGATGGGCTCGCTTATTATTATTATTATTTTCTCATCTCATAGACGCTCGTCCTCTTCATTTCTTGATTCTCCTCTTGTCCCATTCTCTCGTTCTTCTTTCCCTTCTTCATATAATACGTACTCCTTCATCGCCGCTGTTGCTGCTGGCTGCGCACCTCCAGAGCTGTTTTTTTTTTTTTTTTTTTTTCACTTTTTCCTCCTGCTCGCCTCGTCCTTTTTCTCTCTTTGCTCATCTTGGATTTAATAACGAAAGTAGAATAGAGGGGTGGGGGGAGACTAGTGGCATCACGACTTTCGCATTAAAGCGACTCCCCGCCCCGCTGAGGGACTCGCTTGTATTATATGTATAGGTACCTACGCGGGTGCAAAAAACGCTATTGCTTTTAGCCTCGTGGCTCATTTTCAGTGTATTGTAAGTATACCTGACTCTCTCCTTCTGCTGCCCTTTTTCTTGGATGTTTTTTTTCCTTAATATTAACGCGAGTGCGCCGAGACTTTATGGCGATCGGTTGGTTATATTGGGCTATTGTCGAATAATAATTACGCTCGCGGAGTTTGCAGAAAAACTTGTGCATTTGGTCATTTTGACTAAGACCGTCACGATGCCGAAACAATGCAAGATAATATGGAAAATTTAAGGTTTCGAGCAAACAAAATTATTTCTCGAAATGGCGATTCATCACGTCTAATAAATCAGCGGACCTTCACGCCCCGTTGTTCGCCTCTCAACAGCTCGCACCGCCCTCTTCGTCTAAGCACTTTTAACTCTATTTTCGTTCGACTCGTGCCAAGATAAATCGGTTATTGCTGACTTGTAAAATCAATGTCACGTATATATTATGTACCGATCTCGCGTCCATTTTTGGGTTGATCGGACATCGCGAGTCATTATTTTTCTGGAATCTCAAATACCTACGGGTACACGAGTATCGGATCGGAGCTCGTTAATGGACGGTCGATCGTAAACAAAACCCAAGGGAGTTTACGACTGGCAGGAGGGACCCCTCACCCACGCGAATCGGCCTTATGGCACCCATGGCCGTCCGAGCCATTTTTCTGGCTTCTCCTTTTTTGCCCCGTCTTCCTCATTTCGCGCCCGTCTCGGAGAACTGCATTCACGGGAGCCGGAGCTCATTGGAGCCGGGGCCGTTGTTGCGAAATTAGCATGGGAGTCGATTGTGCCGAGGCCCCGGGATTGGCTGGGCCGGTGGGGAGGTGCGTATTATAATAATACACGGGGAGCGAGATTTTGGCCTCTTTGGCGAAACGCCGCCGATATGCCTCCCCGCGTTCCGATGGATTTACGACTCGGGAGCTGCTGCTGTTCATGACTCCTACACGTGCTCTACAGCGTTTTCGACTTTCGACACCTGCTCCGTGCTCTGGGATTTTTAAAATCCTGGATTCTTTTTTTTCTTTCCAGTTTTTCCATGTTGCGGGGGGAAAGTTTACCGATTAAAAAACTCGGAGATACCGCATGAGTGGAAGATAAAAATTTACGAGCGTGTAATGGGGAATGAAGACCTCGAGATGTTACGATGATTGCTTCATCTGTGCCGCCACAAAGTTCGCACAGTCGCTTGTCGTACTTGCACGTAATATGAATCATACCTTGCGGTTTTCGGCTGAGGTCAGCCGCGAGCTGAACAAAAAGTGCCGCCAAACTGTACAAAGAGGTACTTTGGTGCCTGTGGGTTGAAATGGATTTCGGGGCATTATGGACTGTCCATTCTCTTATCGGGTTCAGTGATAGTATTCGCGGTGATGGAGAAAATCAGGCGATCGTGTAAAAAGACTGTACCTCATAGTTACGTTAAAGTCGTCGATAAGATAACTATTTCCAAATTTCTCTCTCTCTCTGACCCGATTGTATACACGATAAAATATAAAAGGAACTGCCACCTTGAGCATGTTCTCTGGAAACAAAAAAAGAAAAGAAAATTCCAACGTATTGAATCATCAAGCAAGGCTTCACTCAGACATCATCAGATCGGACATCGCGAGGGCTAAGGAATAATGGAACACAGCGAAAGATCGGCGGGCCCGATCGCGCCGCCGTAATGATGACATTACGTTTTCAGTCCGCGCGTCGGTCTCGGCCACACTTACAATCCATAAGCCAGTCAGCCCGATCATACATTATATAAATAAAGGGGCTCGTGCACGCGTGATCGAAGAGTGATTAAACGATCTCACACCGATCGGCGATCTCAGCTTCGCTGTTCGAACCATCCGATCTTTGGCGATGGTACAGGTAGTATACGCGTACTCGCGCGAGGTCACTTTGAGTCAAGTGCAAAGGCCAGCGCATAGGTGATCCATGTATCTGTACATACTCTTCAAAGAGAGTATACATAGTACACTAAGCATCATAGTAGGAGTCGATGAAAAAATTTCACGCGCGGGTAACAATCGAGACGGCCGTTTCTTCTTTTTGCGGCAGCTGCAGACTCTCTTTAATAATATACACACACGTGCGCGCAGCTTATTTTCTTTTATTTCGGTGTTGCGGCTGCAGTACTTGTATGTGCCGGCGTGCGAGGCGTCGGCGATGATCAAAAGCAAAGTGCCGAAGAACGCCACTTCCGACAATGCATCCATATGGCTCGCACGTAATGCGCTCGCCGGCCAAAGGGAGGTGAAGGTGAGACGAGAGAGGCGCAAGACTGCGTGTACTGCATGCTGGGAGAGTTGCTGTTTCTTCTTTTTTTTTTTTTTTTTTTTTCATTTCTTTTGCGCTTATCGTTTTACTCTTGCCTTTAAAAGCTCGAGGTTGCTTGGAAGCGTGAGCGAAAAGATGAGAAAGGGTCGAAGTTGAGGCGCAAAGCAAGAGGGGGAAGAAAAAAAAAATTGAAATATCTCGGAGGGGCAACAACGTAGCCGATTAAAGCGTGCTGTTTTGTATATATGTATACGTGTGTTTCGTGGTGGTTTTTAAAACGATTTTAAATGCCAGTCGAGGATTTAAATTGTGATGTGAAACTATCGAATACCCAATGTTAGGTGAGAAAAATTTTGTGCAAATGACACGAGTCGAGTGTAAAAAGATTTGTCCGAGTATACTGATGTAAAGTATTAAAATATCGATCTAAAAATAACTTTTATGTTCGGCAAACGGTAAAAAAAAGTATGAATTAAAAATAACCAGTTACTACGGTACTCGAGTGTCGATAAACACGTTTCGACGGCTAAAAAGTACAAATAGACGCTGCATCATGTTTGACAACGACGAAACGATCAGAGTCTATTGGACGTCCGAGAGAGAGGAAAAAAGAGAGCAAAAGCCGAGCCAAGATTGATGGTTTCTTGATAACCGAAGAAAAACCGGCAAAATGGATCGGCGCTCGCGAGACTCGCCGCGGGTGGCCTTCTCGCGTCTCCTTTTTTTTCACTTTTTCTGTGTAGTTTCTCGCGATCGTTTCACGCCACCCGGTGTGAAGCTACACGCACGCATACGCATGAAATACCGATTTAACTTTGCAAGATACTACAAGCTGTTTGTGTTTTTACTTTTTCAAAGCGATCGAAATTGAATTTTATTCGTTTTACTTCAAGGCTTTTTTACTGTAAAAATATTATTGAATAATAATATTGGAAAGTTACTATCAGCTTTAAATATAGACGACGATGAGTCACAGTCGATTCAGTTGTCATTGAATATACAAATGTATTTTTTTTGTTTTTATCAAAGAAAAGAAAAAAAGACAATGAAGATTGATTCTGGCTTGTCGTATTTTGCGAGAGCGCTTAACGATCTCCGATGTGTATTTTTCTCGTGTATATACATGCGTATCGTGCAAGCGACAGTCATTAGCATTTTAATGGATTTGACTTTGCAAATTTTTTTTCTGGCAGTCTCTCATGTCGTATACCTCATTCACGACGTGGAACGCCCCAAAAGAGCAATGAATAATTTCATAGACTCTGCGATCGGTTTCATTAAATTAGCGCACGTCGCTGGTGCATCATTCCAAAGAACTTTTTACACTGATCGGTGTAAACGGCAGAGAATTAATGGCCCGTGACTTGCAGGAATTTTTTGTTTTCTTTTACCTATACATAGACGTGGGCACTGTTTACTTGAAAATCGCCCACACGTCTGTCCTACAATGATTCGACTTAGCTGTTTGGAATTAAAATTTAAGACAATTATGTAAACGATTCACTTACTCTCAATAATAAATACAACCATATATGTTTAGTAGCGATGTTTGTGATTTTTATTGTTTTGCAGTGATAGTTATAGTGTCGATTATGAATATACATATGGTGTTTGGTATAATATTTATTCATCTAACGGGTAGGACCCCATCTGGCCATTTGTACATGACAAAAAAAAAAAAGTACAATAATAAGTACAGTTGTAGTGGAGTAATTTGATAAAATTTCAGATTGCATAGATTAAGTATATGGAACAGATACAAAGTCGTAGATAAAGTATGAGGCATATAAATTACAATTACATGAATAGCGCGATTTTTCTCGCCTGATTACGTATTCTAGATAAGATAACAAACCGATTTCTTCATTTTGTCGTCAATCTCGAACTTTTCTCGACTTACTCGAGATTGTTTTTCGACAGGCATTTCCTATTGAAGAGTAAGTGCGAGCGTTCCTCCACACACGAGAAATCAAAGCAGAACTGATCTTCTATCAAATTTACCTCTACGATCCGCACCTGCAGGTTATTCGTCGTGTTCTTGCAGCTAATGTTGGGTCCACCAAAAGTGAATGGTTCTCCAACCTGACCATTTTTTTTTACTTTCCACACACGGAAACTCTGGCAATTGGCTGATGCCGATTTTTCAATGTCACAGCCTGACGTGGCGAGCAAAAAGCCACCTTCGGCCAAACTACGCACCGCTAACCAATTGACGGTTTCTTGGAAGGTTGTTGTCTTCTTGATCGTGACTTCCCCTGTGCTGTTGTACTGGTTGCAGTAGATGTTTGTCGGTTTCTTGGACCCCTGAGACATCACGTAAACACAAAAATCATAGATATAACAAATTGGCTGTGCAAATTTTCAAGTTTTTTTTTATATTGTATACCATGTCGGGCATCCTGCAGATGGTGAACTTCTCGTGGGCGCTACTGAACGCGACGCGTTGCTTAACAGCTTCCGGTTCAAAGTTGTCCGTCGTCAGGAGCTTCCCGTTCCCTTCGCCATTGACGAGCAATACTCTCAGGCTCGTCTGATCCTGTACATTCACAAAGAAGCCCTTGTCGGGCCCTGATCCGGACACCGGACTCGAGTAGCCCAGGAGTTCACTGGTGTACGGGAATTGGCCGGTTTGTTTTCCGTCGAGGTCATACGAGAGTCGGCACTGGGCCTCACCGGCACAAGCCGACTTGCTGTTGACGATCACGTCCACCTGTGTTGGGAACAGCAGGAGACTAGGGAAACGACCGTAGCCCGAGTTGTCGATGGGGTAGTTCATATGGGCGGCCTTGCAGCTCTGCATGTTCACGATGCTGACCTTGAAGTTTTGCTTCTGTTGGGAAAGTTAATCGGAAAATTTAGTGTGTTGTGTTTGTAGATCTCGCGGGAATTTCTTTAATTGTTATAAAAAAAAAAAAAATAAGAACACCAGACAGTGTATCTTATGTAAATAAAATAGTAAGTATTATAAAAATTATATAACGATTTTTTAAATTCAACAAAAAGCACATTATACATTGATTGTTTGTATCAAGTTGAGCTTATGTCGAGTTAAGTACTAAAAGTGTACAGACAAAGGAATAAAGTAAAAAATTCTTATACATTAATAGTGTGGTGCAATGTTTAATGCCAAATTCGATTAAATTATATTTAATGGTATTTTTGATTTTTCACTCTACAATTACTAGTTATCAATTGTTTGTATGTCCGAAAAATCCCATAGTTACTAATTACGTAAGGAATGAGTAATTGATTTTTTTATAACATAAAAAATTGAAAATACCATTAACAATTGATTTGAACACGCAATAGATTACAATATTCTATTTTGCAACACTATTAAATTCTTTTACAATGTAGAAGTTATATCTTATAGATTCTTGCAGTACCTTTGGAGCTGTTTTGTTCTTCAAAGTGTCCCACCAGGCTATAACGACATGATCATTGCTGAAGGGCATCACTTGGAAGTAGCCGTTGTAAAAAAGTTCTTTTTCCGGATCCTCCGTGAATACCTTGATCCCATCGCAGACAAGGTTTTTGCTTGTTACGTTGACCAATTGTATCTGACACGTTTTCTCCACCTTCGGTTTAGTCCACTCGCATATCGCGTAAGGGTAGCTGGGATGGTCGGTGGTGAACAGTGTGCCCTGGACGATTTCCTTATTTTCCTTGGGGTCAATGCCCACTTCTAAATGCTCGTTGTGTATACTTTCAGAAATTGAACCCGCAAAGTAGCAGAATATCACTAAAATCATCAATGTTCCGTTTGGCGATCCCATTGCTTTTTCTTTTTACTAATCTGTGTTAATGATTACTTCAATATATCGAGCATACGGATGAAAAATGTATTCCACGATGCAAATTATATACAAGATTTCGTATCTCCGACGATTAAAGCTAAACTACTGACTTTGGCTCTTCCGTGCTTATTTAAATGAAATTCTACTGCGTCGAAACATGATTGTTTATGAAAAGCCAAGGTTAACTGACTTGAGTGTTCTTTATTAATCATTCACGTGCCACAACGTTTGCACAGTTTTGACTCTTACTACACGTTTTCTTTGCTCAATAGGTTTAAGATTTTCGTGAACTGGATTATTTTTGTTTAGTACGAAAGATAATCAAATTTTGTTTTCGTTGTGGATACATCGTGTGCTTAACTTGTGCGCTTTTATAATCAACCGTTGTTGTTTGTTTGAAAAATTAATATTTTCCGAGTCTCGTGACAAAAATAAATTTCCTTATTAATCCTCTGTCGAATAATTTACAATCGCTCATCAAACTTAAAAACAGTAGTGCGGGCTATTGGTGATGAGAGTAGTATGTACGTAAGCTGTCCATATAGAGGTAACCCCATTTCATTCATACTTACTGAAAACATGTTTTTCTCTTGGTAAGTTGTTACAAAAAAATTTTAATTCAATGGTGTATTGTAGCGTGTAAACATTGGAAAAAGTTGGAGCACACGAATAGATATTTTATTTTTATGCTGAAAACATCTGTATGGATGTGAATTTTTGCATACAAATCTTTAATAGTTCATAAGAATATCGATATTAATGTTTTATTTATAAATTTAACAGAGTATATCTGGAAAAATCTAAACTTAATTTTGCCGTGATTGTGTATCATATGGCATTGGTGTATAAATGATATGAACGACTTAACGATATTAAAAATGACAGTACGCCAAGAGCACCCAACTTATTAGATCGTTTTAAAACGATCGCACTTAAGGCTCACGTCTTTAGCATAGCCAATGGTAGTGTTTATGTCTGTAATTTCGTCGATCTTTTATAAATATCGCTTCAACTGTATGTTTCAAAATCTTCAAGTGTTAAAAAATAAAAAAGCTATCTTTATATACATTGTTTATTCGACAAAGTTTTTGAAGAGTTTACTATTTTTTGCAAGTAACATCGAAAAAAGTGCTACTTTTTACAAGACTAAATTTTCAATTTTTAAGAAACTATTTTTGCCAAATTTTCTCAATGTATCATGTAACCAAAATTCTCCAATACGCTCTGTCTCAGTCACTTTTTGATTTACGTGAATAAGACAAAATACGTGTGCAATATTTTTTGATAACCCACCTGACGGATCTAATACATTTTTTTATGGAATATCTCAATTTTGTAGTAAAAATACTGATAAATACGTTCGATTTATTATCCATCCTTTAATATGAATGTATACTTGAATTTTTTAATTTTGAACTTCTCTTGTTATAACAATATTCATACTTATGTTATATTCATACTGTTAGTACTTTGTATTTACTTAACGGTTTAATTTTCATGTTTTGATTTATACACCTGCACTGTTTTGATATTAAAAATGACAGTGCACCAAGAGCACTCAACCATAAACCTGTACTGTTTTGATTGATTTTGATATCAAACAATTCACGAAAGTTCGAGTGTAAAAAAATCAATAAATAAATAATACTTGATCACCAATTGTGTAGCGACATGCGAGTGAGTGTTGATTGATAATTTATGCAGTGTACATACGATTTTTTCTTATCTTCGTGATCACCACAGGTATAATTAATTGAGTTCATCCAAATTTAAACCTTCAAGGTTCTTTCTAATGCCTCAGTTGCGCATCTAGACACATGAGATAAATCAAGAGAACCAGTGGATAGTCGAGTCAATAAGTTAGTTTACACGATCGATATCTCCCAGTATTTTAGAGTAAACTATTCCATCGGATATCCAGGAGATTTAATGTTGCAACTGATTTACTTTATAAATCTTGCCCTTTTCCTCATAGCACTAATGCTCGCCACGCATGCTGTGGTATACGTTTTCGGGGTAGGATATATTGTATTTCTTGTTCACAAAAGGAATAAAAATAACTTTCTTTGTATCTAGTCAATTCTAAATCAGTGCTAGATATTTTGATGATATGCTCACGAAATTACAACGATAACCGCTGAAGAAGAGGGAACCTTTCGCAGAACTACAAGCTCAGAAGCTTTTCTTACATCGGTCTTACTTATAGCTCGTTTTACACCTGCAGGTGTTATCTTTAAAATGTAGTTTACATCCCTACCAATGTATGCAACGCATAGCGAGTTGACTTTATCTGACGTACTATCGATATTTGCGTGACTATTCTCAATGACCTCATTTTCATTTCAGTGTTTGAGTAAATATAGGGAAATATTGAGTTTATATTCAATTTATAATTGGCCATTACAAGTAAAACATAAGGTGGGTATGTCAATAATTCATTTATTATTAACAGTGAAAATAAGTACAAAGATTTGCTAACGATAGTCATAATGTTATGTTATACATGTATGCACAAAGTGATTCATTAATTACATGAATAACGCGATTTATCTCGCCTGATTACATATTCTAGATTAGCCAACAAACCGATTTCTTCATTTTGTTGGGCATATCGAATATTTCCAACAATTCTGATCCTACGTGAGACGATTTGTGGACAGACATCTTCTCTTGTAAGTTAGACGCGAGCGTTCCTCCACACATGAAAAATCAAAGCAAAATTGGCCATCCATTTCGGTGATTCGTACCTGCAGGTCGTTCGCCATATCCTTGCAGTTAACGTTCGGTCCTGTGATTTTATTTATTTTCCCAGCTTGACCGTTATCCTGTATCTTCCACACGCGGAAATATGGACAGTTCATTGCCGATTTTTCAATGTCACAGCCTGACGTGGCGAGCAAAAAGCCACCTTCGGCCAAACTACGCACCGCTAACCAATTGACGGTTTCTTGGAAGTTTGTTGTCTTCTTGATCGTGACTTCCCCTGTGCTGTTGTACTGGTTGCAGTAGATGTTTGTCGGTTTCTTGGACCCCTGAGACATCACGTTAACACAAAAATCATAGATATAACAAATTGGCTGTGCAAATTTTCAAGTTTTTTTTTATATTGTATACCATGTCGGGCATCCTGCAGATGGTGAACTTCTCGTGGGCGCTACTGAACGCGACGCGTTGCTTAACAGCTTCCGGTTCAAAGTTGTCCGTCGTCAGGAGCTTCCCGTTCCCTTCGCCATTGACGAGCAATACTCTCAGGCTCGTCTGATCCTGTACATTCACAAAGAAGCCCTTGTCGGGCCCTGATCCGGACACCGGACTCGAGTAGCCCAGGAGTTCACTGGTGTACGGGAATTGGCCGGTTTGTTTTCCGTCGAGGTCATACGAGAGTCGGCACTGGGCCTCACCGGCACAAGCCGACTTGCTGTTGACGATCACGTCCACCTGTGTTGGGAACAGCAGGAGACTAGGGAAACGACCGTAGCCCGAGTTGTCGATGGGGTAGTTCATATGGGCGGCCTTGCAGCTCTGCATGTTCACGATGCTGACCTTGAAGTTTTGCTTCTGTTGGGAAAATTTAGTGTGTTGTTTGTAGCTCTTTTTGCATGTAACTTACAATTAACATGTCTTTACAATGTAGGGTAGTTATGATTCTAATCGGTGGATGGATATCAAAGTTGTCCATGACTTTTTCTTGAAATACAATTTTTTTAAATAGTTGAACTTTTGTTTATGATTAGAGTTTAGTTGTAAAGAGAATGGTAACTTCATCTGCTCAAGAAAATCTTTGTAAATGCAAATTTGTCTTTTGTAGGAAGAGGACGAAGCTATTTACACTGTGAGATTAAACAACAGCCGTGACGGGTAGCACCTATTTTGAAGAAAAAAAAATACCTTTGGAGCTGTTTTGTTCTTCAAAGTGTCCCACCAGGCTACAACTACATGATCATTGCTGAAGGGCATCACTTGGAAGTAGCCGTTGTAAAAAAGTTCTTTTTCCGGATCTTCCCTAAATATTTTAATTCCGTCGCATACGAGTTTCTTGCGTGGATTGTTGATTAAGTTTATTTGACACGTTTTTTCCACCTCTGGCTTTATCCACTGACATATTGCGTAAGGGTAGCTGAGATGGTCAGTGGTGAACAGTGTGCCCTGGACGATTTCCTGGTTTTCCTTGGGGCTGATGCTAGTTTGTGTGTTTTCTTGGCGTTCGCTGTCAATGAAAGAACTCACGTGACTGCAGAATGTCAGGACAGTGAGCACTAGGAGTGTTAGTCCTCCTTTTGGTAATCCCATGGTTGAATCTTGTTAAGTTTTTTTTTTTTTTTTTTTTTTTTTTTTTAGTATTTAATTAAAAAGTTTTTACAGAAAATGTTTGTTCATTAATGTTCTGATTACAGAAACTTACTATTCAGATTTTTGAACGTATACATATATACAAAAAAAATGATGATGCTTATACTGTAAAAACTAAACTAAAAACTTTTTGGACTCCTTTGCTTCTTTAAATAAATTTCTACCACCTACAAACAAAAGCAAACTGATACGGTAACGTACGATTAATTGGCACGTGTTCTTTTATATTTATTAGTGCGCGATAACGTTCGTACAGTTGTGAGTAATTCTACGTCGTCTTTGCTCATTACATATGAAATTTCCGTGTACGTGATTGTACGTTCAAGAAAAGAAAAAAAAATTATTTATATCTCTCTTACAAATACAGAATGTACGATGTGCGATTACGTAACCAGCCACGTTTGTTCAGCGCAAGAATACTTTATGGGTTTCGAAAAAAAAGATGAATTTCATTAAAATTCCGTAATTTTACGACGAATCATAGTCTACTGTCGATTTGTTCAACGATACACTCGACAGATATCGATAGTGGAAATAGTGCGTGCGTCAGCGTTTTTCCGCACTTGATACTTCCTGAAATACACTTTCCTCTCGATCAATTAATCGCTTGAGGAAAAGTTAATCCAATGAGTTTACAATTGCATTAGAAAAAACACTTGTACAAACAATGGAAAAATTCGATGAGGCGTATTAAAAATTTTAGTTTCGTATTTTAATGAGAGCACACGTGTGGGGATTGATTTTTTTTTCCCCCATTAAAATCGTTATCAAGATCTTTCGTAGCTTGGAAACTTTTTTTCTTTAAAACATCTTTAGATAACAGATACTCGATAATTAACAATAAAAAACGATTTACAAAAAAAAGTAACTGTTAGTTATCGAAGATAACAATATAGTAATGAAAATGAAAAAATGTCCAGGAAGAGCCACACCTATATGTACCTACGTAAGATGATTGCAAGCGGTCACGAGGAAGAAAAAAAAGTGCAGAGAAGGAAACAACCGGAGAAAGAGAGAAATCCACCGGCAAAGGATAAACACGAGGAGGGAGGAAGAAGAAAAGGGGGAGGAGGTGGTGGGTGAAAAAAAGAAAAAAAAAAAAAAAAAATGGAAAAGTGACAGGCGAGGCGAGGAGGACACGCGTTCGCGGCTAAGCGGAGCTAATGAGGTTCTTGGCTCGCGTCGACGCGGGTTATATTTCTCTTTGACGCATCGAGAGCCTGTCGCCTCCCGTCCGTCCGTCTGTCGTCTACCCACCGCCCATCCATCCATCCAGTGTACGCACTACCTGCAAAACAGACGGGCCAAGGAAGACGAGAGATTCAAGTGGCACGCCGTTGACAAGAACGCGACTCTGACCTTGCTCTCTTTCTCTCGGATCTCTTCCTCTTTTCTCTGACGCGTCCAAAGTGGGCGGTGCCTGCCTCGCTTTGAAATAAAATTCCCTATACCTACAACATGCTCGACGGATGACGCGCTCCACGATGTCTTAGACGAGCTAGTAGAAACAGCCGCTACCTGGTAAGACGAGTACCGTCAAATCGTAGAGTATTCCATAAACCCGCTCGTACCCGTACATTCAATAAAGTCAAGTCCCATCGGATGAGTTTACTTTGAGAAGAGGCATAAATTCGCGTGGCACATACACCGCAACGCAAAAGGAGTCATCGCGTCTCGGGATCGGGGGGCTGTGCGATCTGCACCGAATGAACACCAATTAAGGGCGGACAAGCAGCGTCGCGAGGGGTGGACGCGGGCAGGCGAAGTAACCATCAAAAATAATCGCACCGAGGAGGCAATTACCTAAACAAAAGCCAAGGTGCGTCAGGTGGGAGCGCAGAGGGAGAAAGAAAAAAAAAAAAAAAAAAAAAAACAGACGACATTGGACTCCAAGTCGGAGAGAACGAGAAACAAAGAGCGGCGGGGTAGGGGGAGGATATACAATAGCAGTGAACGCGAGCTAATTCATCGCCGGTGGAGCACCGATCGATCAATCTTCGTAAAAGGACCAGCGGCGGCAAGGCAAAGAGAGAGAGAGAGAGACATTAATTGACACGGGGTTGATCGCCGCTCCGGTGTTTCCTTCGCCGATGCAGCTCCCGTTGGAGGAACGCTGAAAGACCGGGGTGGACAAAAGCTGGAAACTGACTGCACGAAGATGCTGGTAGAAAAAAAAAAAAAAAAAAAGAAAAAAAGTCAGGAAGGACGTTGGGGATCAGGATTCATTGTTTTGCAAGGAGCGAGGGATAGTCTCTCCTACTTGTCCGAGCTACCGTCGCTCGTATAATAACGAACTCTTTTGCGCTAGACATTTTAAAATCCCGTCCAAAGGGCACAAAATTTTGAGAGAAATAAAAAATAACGCACCCAAAAAGGGATTCGAAAAGGAAGAAGAAGAAGAGGAGCGATCGAGAGACGACGAATGAAACGGCAGAGGGAGGGTGGGGACCGGCTGTCCTTTCCCTCTCGCATAGGCGGAGCTCGGCCGGTGCATTGGTCCCTCCTGACGGGCTGCAAGGGCCCTTCGCCGGATGCGTGAGCCAGCGAGCGTCAAAAGGGGCAAATAAATAAACGACTTGTGGCTAAGGAGGAACGGGCACATATATACGTAGGGAGACGAGGACTTTCCGTCACCCACGTCAGCGATTGTTTCGCTCCCGTTTATTCTCCGTGTTCTGGCAACCAGTGCGGACGACGACTGCCAGTATGGGTATTACGTACATCGTGCACGGCAGGTAGGAGGAAGGGAGAAGCAGCCTGGGCTGGGATTTATGGTCGCGGCCGACTTGAGACATTTGAGGGAGATCGAACGCGATATCCACCTCCGTCCCTTCGCTGCTGTTGCTCACTCGCGACGAGGACGACGCCGGCTACCAGGTACACGGAATCGAGCGACTTCTGCTGCTACCTGCTCACCCCCCCCCCTCCTCCACCTCTTCCTCCGACGAGACTCTGTTCCTTCCACCCGCGCGCTCGGCAGAGGAAGAAGCGAGCGCGATCCACCTCTTCTATCTCGTACCGATCTCTCGGCTCTTTCTTCTCTTTTCCTCTCTTTCTGTCTCTCCCGAGGAGCAGAGATGTATACGTGTGCGCGCGGACGCGTCACGTTAGCCGTACCGACAATGCCGAAAGCCTCGGTAGGGAGACCGATGATCGGCTGTGTATATATACACTTTCTGCTGTTCTCGTATGAAAGAGACGAGAGACTTGTATTTTTTGTCCCTTTCGCGTCTCATCCTCCTCATCCCTTTGACCACTGCCAACTACCATACTATTACCACTGCGACTACACGGACGGGCCCCCGTTTGTTTGCTCGGCTCGTTCTTCTTCTTCTCCTGCTCCTCTTCTGGTGCCTACATATACACCCGTGAGCTTACAATAGGTACTTGGAGCTTGTCTGTCCGTCCAGCCTCGGCTACTGTCGCGCGGAGGTGCAGCCCGACTGTCCGGGGCTCGTGTGGCGATTGATGGATGGGACTCGCCGGCGAGCGCGGTTTTACATAATTTCAGGAATCGGCCGAGACTTGTCTCTTTCGAGGGCTTTTTTACGATACTCCCGGGCTGATGTACGGCTTCGTTTGGCAATGAGGGACCATCGCGATGCTCGATCTTGGGGGCTAATGCCAAAACACGTTAACCGCGGAAACGAGAGGAGCCCTTTTTTGTGGACAACCTTTTAGTCGTCGCTCGCTCGTTTGGCTCAGCAACGCGAGTAACAAAGAAGCTATGGTGTGAGCATCGGTGAGTGGAACAGGTGACATATATACAATCGTCGCTGGTCCCTCGTTCAATTGCAGCTCACTTCTGTAAAATTTCTTGGGGGCAAACCTACATAGCTCGTGGATGAAGCAAACGACGGGTTTGTGGTCTCCCCGCGCGATGCATTGCTTCTGGCCCCCAGCTTCTTTTCCTCTTGTTTGCTCGGGCACGGCGATGCCGCTTCTTTATTTTTCCCTCGCCCCGCCGATGCGAGTTATTAAAACATACGCCGGGTAATTGGTATATTTAAAATTTCAAAGGAGCCCTCGAAGCCCCAGCCCCCCCCCCCTCTGCCTTGTGCACGTACACCGGGCCCAGACACATATCGGCCGATCGATTGGACTCCGCAGCTCGTGATTTACGATCCGTGTACAAAATCAACTCTTAAAACTCGCGCTCGTAGGATTGCGTTATAATTGGACGGTTTTGCGCTCGACGCGTTGCCAGTAGCTATTACCGAGCTCGGGTAGCCAGACGCGAGATGATGTTCGTTGCAATGAGTTACGGGACGCGGGTGGTAAATCATTGTGATCTCTGTCGCCGTCCTTCTTTAGATCGCGTTTGGAGAATCGAAAGCTCATCCTTGATACCATTGCTCAATGGTAGCCAAGTTCGAAGGACTCCGTGACTCGGGAAATCCCTTGCGAGGCTGACGCGTGGAACGAAGCAAAATAAAAAAATAATAATAATAAACCAGAGAGGTCAGTCGGCGGTGTTTTTGTCCTTTTTCTCCCCCCACCCCCTCCTCTCTTATTTTCCCTTCAGCGGGAGCGCTCATCTCCTTCTCCGGGTGTATTCTTCCTTTTGAATGTGCGCCGGCCAATTAAAATAATTAGCGACGAAACGAACGAGAGCGGACTGCGCGCCTCGATTATATCGAAGGCGAAACGAAATGAAAGAGAGTCGGAGGAGGAGGACTGGCGAGCGCGCGTGTATTTATAAAATCGGCCCGATCGGAAGGACTCGGTCGTGATCCTTTTTCTTTTTTTTTTTTTTTTTTTTTTCCTTCCTTTTCTCTCTCTCTGCAAAAACTCGGAGAGAGACTCGGGGAGGAGATCTGATTTAATAACCGGCGGCAGGACGAGCAGCTATACGCGGACGTGTATCGCTGGCGGCTCAATCGTCCTTCGTCTCGTACACGTATTTATTGTACACACTTGGGAAAATGATGCACCGAGCGATTGAAAGGGGCGAGTCGATCGAG